ATAATAATTTATTGAGCACATGAAATGAGTGTACATTTATAGGCTCTCTACACTACTAATTATAATATACTTAAGTTTAAATACATGTATATAGTAATAATAAAGTTAAAGTATAATACCAGGTGTTATCTCAATTTGGATAGCTTCCGTTTTCTCATAGCACTGTTTATAAACTTTACAAGTGCGGACACACCTCTCTCATTTGACACATTTAATAGGGCGGATAGTGTATCGTCTGCTAGACCCTGCACATTTACCTCTGGTAAGGCAGCAAATAATGTTTCTCTGTCTAGATTATAAGTAGTACACTCAAGAAAAAAGTGAGCTTCATCTTCCACTGCATTACAGTGAGGACACTTTCTGTCCTCAATTTTTGTTTTGGGGTGGGTATATCTGCCTCTTTCAATCTCTAACTCGTGGTCACTGACCCTCATTTTGGCTAGAATTTTTTTATGTGTAAAAGGGACTTTTAATTCCAAATATGGCTCAGCTTCATAGGATTTCTTAATTTTGCTGTAGGTGCGGAGTTTGTTGTTGGTATTTCTATGGATTTCTTCCCAAAATTTTCGTTTTATTTCATTGGTTATTTCTATTTCAAGATCTGGGTAGTTGTGGATTTCGCAATTATGTCTGTTTGTATTAAGTTCCCAACATAATTTAATATTTGACATTGTCTGATACCAGTTACTTCCATTTTCTATTTTTTCCCTGTTATATGCTTGTTTAACAATTCTGTTATCTGGGAGTTCTTGGAGTCTAGCACTGTATTTTGAGACTAATTTTACTATGTCCAAATATATTGGGAAGCGACCCATTTCTGCTCGGCAAGCATTATTGCTGGCAGATTTCCTTACACCTAATGCCCACTTACAAAATTTCAAGTGTACTTGCTCGAAAGGCATTTTATTTAGTTTTTCCAAAGTCATCTTTTTTTGTGATAATATTTCTTGTCCCCAGACTTCGCACCCATAAAGTAGTATGGGCTTTATCATTTTGTCAAAGAGTGACATTGTAAGGAGTGGAGAGGAGATTTCATTTGATGCTAGTGCTCCTTTTAAGGCAAAGATTGCTTTGAGGGCTTTTTGTTTTAGATTTTCCAAAGTTTTCTTTAGTGATCCCGTGTTAGTAAATATTACCCCTAAGTATTGATATTGTTTTACTATTTCAATTGGTCTATCATTTATGACAAAATTAAGTGATTCAGTTCTACCAGATTTATGAAAAACTATAACTTTTGATTTCTCTTCGTTTACACGTAATTTCCATCTCTCACAATACCTCTCAAGTTTATTCAACAGTGTTTGCAAGCCATCTTTTGTTTTAGAAATTAATGGTATTTAGTAATAAGAAAGGGAAACAGTAAAGATGAAAAGACATAACTTTGACGGACGTTATTTTGAATACAAGGCGATTGACCGATTGACTGTGCTAGCTGAACCCACATTGATTGTGTCGCAACTGGTGCATTCTTCACTAAATCTCTAAACGCATTCCTTTAGACATGGACATACATTAGTTGAGCTCTTTAGATGAGGTAGCATCATAGACTATATAGAGCACTACTTGCATCATAACTGTCATTTTGCTCTTCAAAGGAACCAAGAAACGGATATATATAGAAAAAATGTGACTGTTGAACAAAATTTAAAGATCTGCGTTATTGGGCTTGTGTTGATGAATTGACACAGCAGCGGCTCCTGGTGGTGACATTTTATTTGCATTGTGGGTAGGTTGGCAAGGAAAATAATATGGCGGCGGCAGTAGTAGTATTTCGAGTTTCATAAACTCTTCATGAATCTTTCTTAGTCATATATGGGCTACACATCGCCAGCATGGTAAGCATAAAATTTCCGTTAAATATAATTCCATTAATTTAGGTTGTTTGATACGAATTTTGAATGTACAGAGCGAAAGTACGTTAAGAATTACGGCAAAATTGCATTCAAATTTATTTTCATAAAATTGTATATACCAAGAATTTCAGTTACTTGTTGCTTTCACAGTTTTATAGGTGAACACTTTCCATTGGCCGTTTTAGCTTGAAAAATATATTCGTTAAAAATTAATATATAATTATTTTTCTGTTTTGTTATTTGAATGCGTTCTGTTGCCTAAAACTTCAAGAAACTTATCCTGCAACTAAAAACGGAAAGTGTCTGACTTCGTTTTCTTGCTAAATAACCGATAGCAGTTCAGATTCACGCCAGGTCTGTTACCCAAATATTCTGTTGTTTTTTATTGTGTAGGCATTAAAGCCAAACCATATGGATATGCATGGATAGAAAAGTGTTATGTGATGAACAAGTACGAAGTTTTAGGAGTCGTAGGTGAAGGTAAGTCCTGTGAACTTGTTTTCTAAATTCTTCTGGATTGCAAGATTCATGTTGTACAGAAAAAAATACAGACTTAATTCTGCACTGAGGCAGGTCTTGTGCAAGCAATTTTTTTTTTCGCTGAACCAAATCACTCTCTTTTTCATCACTTTTTTTCTCCAAATGGTTTAAATTTAACTAAAACAAGTCAAAGCACTATACCCCTAATTTGTTTAGCCAATTAAAGTCATTTTAAGGATTTGTCTAAATTGGCAAGTGTTAGTGCTACCCAGTTGTATGGAATTCATTTTGTGATAAAAGAGAATTAAAAAAAAAAAATGAAAACAGTGTAATCAACAAAATCAATAAAATTCCTGTGATTCGGAGTTAGTGTCTGACTTATGCCAAGCTACCTCTTAGGCATGGGTTACAAGACATGTAGGCTTACACCCCATTTCCATAGATTAGATCGACCTACTTTAGATCGACCTAACTCCCTGGGGGTTCACGCTAAATAGCTGTCAGCCGGGCGGACACGAAAGTTAATTATCCCCTTACAGCTTGTAGTAGGCGGGACGGACATTTAAGTCGGATTATCTGAAAGTAATCTAGTGAGACTCCCCGTGGGATAGATCGATCTAAAATCTATGGGAATAGAGCCTTAAAGAGGCAAAGGGAAGAGGTAGAGGGCTATTATCAGCTATATGTACATTGTAAGCCCCATTTCCCCAGCACAGTATATAATCAGCTGAAGCTCTAGTTTACCACTTACTGAATACAAATATGATTATGACATATGAATGGGAAAGATGATAATGTCAAATAATATTTCAATTAAATGAGAATTCTTGAACAGAAAATATAAATGTTCAAAGTGAGAGAGAGAGCATGGAATTTATATATAAATATTGAAAACGCCAATCCTCTCCTATTTTTTTTTTTTTTATAGTAGAAGTTTGTTAAAGACAAGCACAGGCTATGGTACTTGAAGAAAAAAAACAAGCATATACAGTATGCTTTTCTTTTCTTCAGTGTCTCCCATTTATATATTATATATTACTGTTATTGTTCCCAGTAACAATAAGTGCCACTGTCATTGACTTGACCAGATATGTTCCCAGTCAACAAATAGACCATTACCATGACTACCTAGTACCACATACAGCATTAATAACATTAACATCATTAGCCGTCAACAAAGTTTATATGACAACATGGTGACACTGAATGTAAAGTAGGAGTTACCTGTTACTGCTACAATGGCCACACCTTAAGTGGCTTTGATCAAAGACAGTGATTGATTTTTAAAGATATAACCAATTCCCATGTGGGGTCTACTGAAGGTTACTGAGGACACCGTCCAAGCTCGAAATTTAATCAGTACCACCATACTTGTATGATGCTTCATGTAGTAGAAAGGGCACTTTACTCACATGGGATTATCTCTGCTTTAGCAGGGACTTTTTGCGATGGACTGACTAGCTTTAAAGATAATGGAAATGGGAGACTTTCATACTTTTAGGAAACATAATTGAGAACCTTTCAACAAACACATTACCAATGAAGTTGATGGATTTGCTGACATGAAGTTTTCTACTTATGATTTTTTTTATGTCAGTTTTTGTTAAGATAATGTGGTTTCATTATGGTTCGATGGCTTTTATGAATAAGCTGCAAACACTGCCCTGTAGTTCGTGTTTCAGAAATTTTTTTGTTTGTTTGTTTCACAAGTTTCATCAACATCTGTTTTCTTTTTTATTCATTTTTGTATCCTTTGTCATATGTCAGGTATCTTAATGGATCAATTTGAAAATTGGATTAATTACCTGCTTTATCAAGTTTTAATTTTGCTTCTGTGTTGCAAGCCTCAGTTTTCATTGATTTGTGACATTCTGCCTAATAGAGGAGAGGAAATTTCTTTCTATGGCTTCTCTTACAGAAGCAGATAGCTATTTCTATTAATAATTAATCTGAGACACAGTACAATTCTTGAATGGCATTCCCTCAAGTCTTATATTAATTCTATATTAATTTAGATCTGCTGGCTACAAATGGATATTTAGCCGAGTTTACAGTGGAAAAAGCTGCCCTCGCCTTCTTAGCTATATCAAGCATAGTTATGTTATTGCCTCTGAACGATAAATTCAAAGAAAACTACTTCCAAGGCTACTAGTACTTTAGTACTAGTACCTTTTGCATTTTCCTCATTTATTGGATTTTCATATTTTTTTATCTACAGTGTTCTTCATACTGTGAGCTTCTTATCTTAGGTGATTGTTTTTTCAAATGCACAAAGGTTATTGGATGATCAAGTAATGGTGTGAAGATTGATAGCCATAATGGAGATGTAATTAGGAAAATTCCAGGTGGCATGAATGATGGCTGTCGTAATCATATAATGTGTCTATCAATCATCCAATTCTCCTTCTCTCTCATACACACACACTCATACATGTTCATAAACACGTGCACAAACACACATACTCTCTCTCTCCATCTCTCTCTCTCTCTCTCTCTTGAGCACTTTAAAGCACACACATAATACAACATCGCTCTTTATAAGTAATAGAGAAAAAAAAAAACACCTTGAAGTCCCAAATTACCATTATCTGTTCCATGTCAAGAGGGTGTTGTTGTGAAGAAGATAAGGTCTCCCAGGCCTGGCTGTCAATTAAATCTCTGCCTTGGGTGTTGTTTTGCCTCTAATGCCTCATCACATTTCACTTAGGAAATCAAGGGAATAAAGGCAGCTGGAAGTCTAGGTTATTATAGATATACCCAATAAAGAATGATTTGGTTCAGATATTGATTTTTAGTACTGATATTTTTTAAAGAATTTTTTTGATATCAAAAAATGAAAGTTAGGGGAGTGTTAGGTTTTCTGTACTTTGCATAAGATAATTTACATCATGTCAAATAGATATTGTATAACTAATAAATAAATAAATAAATAAATAAATAAATAAATAAATAAATAAATAAATATAAAAAAATAATAGTGAGTTTTAGGCTACTTAAAGGTATCCAGAGCATACTAGTATATATTCCCTTTTTCCCCCCAATGATCTGTTGTTTATGAATCTTTATTTTATTTTGCAGGAGCCTATGGTGTGGTGCTAAAATGTAAAAACAAGGTAAGTATTTCTGAATTAGAATTTGTTGTAAATATGCCATGATTCTGATGGTTTTGATGCCAAAATCATGATGCTGAAAAATGTGCATTTCAGTGAAAATGAGAGAGGAGGAGAGAGGTGTAGGAAGACTTCACATTGAACTAATTTTTTTACAGTAGTGTCTCATAAAGCAGAGGTGCCAACTGTTTGCATTTATTTTCTGTTTTAATTAGAACTGACTCCCCATATTTTAAGGAGTTATTCTATTGTTAGTAAGATATTGGGAAATAGATCGACATGTTTTGAGTCCTGTATTGTGATATTGGCAGCGCTGCATTTTTTGGTCTCACAGAGTAACTCAGGCCTCTCTCATGCCTTTCAAGTGCACTTTTACATACATTACACTCAAATCCATGTGGTGACATGCTGTTTAAGTATCCCAGTGATATACAAAGACGAGGAGTGTTAGCTGCTCAGGCTGGCAATCGTATACAAAAGCGCATCACAGCTGAGGCTCTCCAGTCATATCCGTCTCTTATCTTAGCACTGAGCAAACACAATGGCAGAAGAGGCCTATTTATTACATGTGGTTGCCCCACTTCAAGCCTGACCAGGCTATTATAGTAAAAGTATGTTCTAGTACACTATGGCCTAAATCCAAAGTATTTGTGGTTGGTCTATCGGAGAGAGCTATACAAGTTTTGATATATACATGTTTTAGTACTCTAAGGGACCATTCACAATGAATTGTGTTGACCTAGCTAATGCCCATTAACTGTATGGGGACTCTTGCTGAATGCAATCAGATTAACAGACTAACACATCTCCTGGTATTGAGTAGAAAAGCTGGTGATTATACAAGTATGTTGGAAACAAGAGGTGGGTTAATCTGTTTAATTGATTGCATTCAGCAAGAGTCCCCATGGAGTTATTAGCTAGGTCAGCAAGACTCATTGTTAACAGCCCCTTATATAAAGCTTTGAATTTAAATCAGCTGATCAGTGGAGGTTTATTGTAGCTATAGTAGAATATTTGAATTACATAGAAAACTGAAACAAGCAGCACCAGATATATACTGGGGGATGAAAAACGTGTTAAAGATAAACATTGCTAGTGGAAGAGAACATTAAAAGAATTTTTATGACGATATTTATGCCTAGCTTGGGTATCAAAGTGCCAAACATGCTTATAGAAGAGCTTTATGATCTTCACTATACAAACATAGGGAGCTTTTTAATCTTGATTTTGTTTGAATTTATGTGCTGAAAAAATAAGGCTATCTTTTGATGTGTGCTTGTGTACACCTCAATGTTAACTTAGTGGTAGAAATATGGCTTCTTGAGAGTGGCTGCTGGGTTTGTAGGGCTGTTAAATTTTTACGGTAACGACCGGATCTTTTCAAAAGGGAAAATTGTAAATTTTACAAATACTGTATTTTTAAGTCATACATTCTTAAAATGACAACATTCCTATTGAGTGGAAGCAACAAAATTGAAAAGCAGGCTATCTTTTAGTTCTATTTTACTATAGAGCTCTATCATAGAAGTACTTCTATGGTTTTATGTAGTATATAGTTAAAGCACCACAAATGCTGTATGTACAGAAATATTTTTTAATGATTCCAAAATTATATATCTGAGATATTGATCATTTTTTCCCCAAATAAAAATATTGGAGTCATATTTACCATAAAGTTGTTCCCATTGTAAGAAGATAATCTAGACTAGTGTGGTATTTACTTTCAATGTGTAGATCTATTTACTTTTAATGCAACCTATGGAGACTGAGAGACAAAACTTGAAATATCAACATAATACTGAAAGCTGAAAGGCAGTATGAGGCATTGTTTCTAGCTGTATGTTAATTATTATTGTCAATCATCTGAATTATAAATGATGAAACTATGCTATTGAATATAAATAAGTAATTATTTACCTGCATATCTGACAAGTGTAATCAGTGTATTATTTTCATGGATTGTGACATATTTTTTGGTCATTGTTTATTATTTTCACTAATGATATAAATTGCAATGAAATGGTCCTGAGATCAAAATACCAGTCCTGTAGTAAGAGGACAATTTCTTTTAAGAAAGAAAGAAGTTTTGGTATTTAGGTATACATGCGGAAAAATTCAAGAAATAAAGAGGGTTAAGAAATTTCTTTGAATAGATCTCCAGTTTTCTGATTTTAGGAAGTCTTTTTTACAATGTTTGTGAGGCATATTGGCTCTTCCAACCCCAGCTGACTTAAAAATTTTTTTTTACAAAATTTTTCACAAAATTCTTTATTATCTATGATGAAACAACAGAAGCAAAGAAATGGCCCAGTGAAAAATCGAGGGGAAAGTCACCATATGCTTTCAGAAAACTATTTATTGATTTGATTACTGTAATATGAAAAACTGGCTGGCAACCAGCCACGTAGAGTTGTATTTGATGAGTTTTATACCATCTGACATCTTCATGAATAAATCAACACAGCCACTGACTCTGATCATTGGGGAACCCGCAGATCTCCTTGACAATGGGAACGACTCACCTGTAACAAATACCATGTGGGAATAGATTGTCATCGTGTTATTCGTGCTATTGTTGCTTTTGAAACTGCAGTGTGTTGTCACACTCAGGAATGCTGGTTGGCAGTGAAAAAAAGATCATTTTCTATTTTCACAGTTGCGTGTTTTAACCTAACTGGATTTTTTTTGTTAAAATTCAGTTGTGATTCATGGTTATGGGATCACATGCTTTGCTTGACTTTAGAATGTTCTATAGATGAGAAGAAGGGTGGTTTGTCTTTTTCCCCCTTTTTTTGAAAAACAATAAGGAATTAGGAACTATTAGAAAATAAATCTCAGACACTACATATTTGTCTCTGCTTGAAGCCCTGATAAATTCTGTAATCATTTTTGCTGTATAAATGTGTGTGAGGTCACTAGTGTCATACCTTATAGCTTTCATATCAGCAAAAAAATGTATTAAATGTATCCTGGTCTATAATATTGATGATGCATTAAGAGATTGAGGAAATGCTAGATATAGGTTCTGTATCTATTGGATTTTTTTACTCTATTAGTTCATATCAGCCCTGAATAATTAATTATTCATTTAAAGTACAATTGATTTACCAATCAGTATTGAATGGGTCCATAGAGTATCAAGATGTAGGTGAGTGAGAAACATATGGGGACATAATGGGCCGGTTACAGAAGTTCATGTTATTAGGTTAGTTCATGTTTCTTTATTTCTTTAGAAAAGTTTTGGAATTTCTTGTCCTTTGATTGCCACACGGAATTTGTCAATAAAACAGAAAAAAATGAGGCACTGCAGCATGGAAAATCGTTATTAAGAATAGGTTGTAATTGCGAACCTAATGTTACTTAATCAGTGTTGATATTTGGATTAAATTGTAAATAATGGTTAGAGGTAATGCTTTGGAAAATGTCAAGCCTTTTCAGTTCAGTGAAATAAATTGTAGTATAAATTTTGCATTAAGCTTTTCAGACTGATCAGCTTAAATTCAGGTATATCACAGTAATTAGACACCCTTATCACAGTCTACCCCACTAATCAAACAAGCTGGCCAGGAAATGCATGTCTTGATGCATGGCAGTGAAAGGCACGTTTGTAGCGTGGTTCATATATTGAAAGATCCCTTATTCTTTTTCAAATTCCACTTTTTCAGTAGTCATGGTGTGGCAGGACCAGATTAGAAACGGCCAAAACCTTCAAATTGTTGCCTGGTTGTGTTTCTGCCTTTTCACACACACACACACACACACACACACACACACACACACCGAGAGAGAGAGAGAGAGAGAGAGAGAGAGAGAGAGAGAGAGAGAGAGAGAGAACAAAAAAGAGAACTATGCATGTTATTAAAAAGTTTAAAATCCCTCTACAGTAAAAGTCAGTGATGATGTAAAAAATGTTTTAATAAATGCAGCAGCAACATTCCAACTGTGTTTAAACCTGATTTCTTTTAGCTGGGAAATTCATGGTTCCCCAGTTGGATAATTATAAAAATTAAATATGAAGCTAAAAGAAAATGTGAAATTACATCAGGGGTACCTGGGTCTTTTCAGTGATTATACCGAGCCTTGTGTATTTGAAATTGATTTTTCCACATGGGTATTTTGTTTGAATTTGCTGAGGCCAGTCACTTCCATCTCTAGAGAATAGTCTTTCTATTAGTTTTTTGTTCTGCTACTTGCTGTTTACACAACTTTAAGTTTGACCTACTACATCTGAATCACAGTAAAAGCAGTGTTTATGCTTAGCTCAAACCTTATTCTTTGTGTGCCATAGTGGCTTGGATATAAAACAGAAATAAAATTTCAAATGAAATATTCCTGCTGCTTTTTGTCCTTAAAAGACAGGTCCTGTATACTGCAAGTAAACTTTCTTTGCTCCCCGTAATTCATGCTTGTGTTTTGGATACCTGATATTACAATGCGTATAGCTGGCCGGGTCAGAGTTAAGATGTTTGATGTATGATTTACCTCAGTAGCCAGGCTGTTTGCGGTTACTTCAAATCTCTTTGTGTACACCCAGATAGTGTTTGCACAAAAGCTATAGAGAGAAGTCTTAAGTGTGCTAACTGTAATCCACAAACTTCACACTGTTAGAACTCTTCATTAGCATTCTTAGAACCTGCATGTTTGTAGCAGTGTAACTTTGTGAGATTTTTGATAAATTGGCAAGAATCTTTATAGCTTGTTACATAGGATGGACATGATGCATGTGTAATTAACACGGGTAGAGAGAGAGAGAGAGAGAGAGAGAGAGAGAGAGAGAGAGAGAGAGAGAGAGAGAGAGAGAGAGAGAGAGAGGAATGAATAAAAAGTAAAAAATTAGTAAATGAATATAGTACAAGACAAAGTATAACAAGACATTGCAAAGAATAGTTGATCCCTATATTAAAACTGATTTCAGTGGTTTACTACAACATTGTGCAATCTAACCCTGTTTCCATGGTAACTAGAGAGGAAGAGAGTATCATCAGAAATTTTTTTTATTTTTCTTGTAACATTCCAACAAGGTTTCTTACTGATCCTGAAAGAATAAATACAATTTTTCTTATAATTATCTTGTGTTGCATTTTTTTTTTTTTTTTTTTTTTTTTTGTGAGTTGTAAAGAAAAAAATGTCTTATTATTCCAGAATCAATCAGTATCTATAGCTAGTATATATATATCATGTAATTTACCATAAATACCGGGCATTGGAGTGAGTTAATGAATTAACCATACATTCAAACGTTATGAGTCAAAGCTGCACAGATACACGTTTTAGTACATTCAGTGTAATTTGCCAAATTCATTTGATTGAATTTCTGTTTAATTTTGTCATTGCAGGAGTCTGGAGAGATGGTGGCCATCAAGAAGTTCAAGGACAGTGAGGGTGGGTAACACCGAGAACTTTCATCTTTGATTTGAATTGAAATCCAAATAAAAAAAGAAAGAAAGAAAGCAACTAATGTTCAATAAAGACATGAATTTATTTTGATAAAAAAAGGAAAATAAGATTAAGGCTTTAAAAAATTTAGAAAAGTCCACAGAAAAGATTAACTCCATTCTTCTCCCCATTTTAATAAATTTAAAAGTAAATTTCAGTCGGCCAGTGTAACAGTGTCCAGAGACTTATAACTATAATAATATAATATATGGTTGTATACCTGCCCAACCACTGAACATAACGTATACGGAACGTTAAGTCTTCCACAGGTGTGCTGTTAACTGTAGTCATTGCCTTCAATCAGCAACACAAAGCAGTCTAATTAATTCATTAAGTGGGATACATTTCTGGTATCAAACATTCAGTTAGTTTGGCAGAGAGCCATTCCAATAAGGATTTTGCGGGATTCATAGTTTCCCAAACATACGTAGTTGCCTGTTGTCATGCAACTGTTAGCTTAGGATGGTGTATAGTTACCCTTCATTGACTTCACTGGTGACGCAGGAATTGAAATGAATTTTTGCAGTGCAAGACAAGAAATTCACTTTTATCAAAAAAATAATCAACCTTTTTCTTTTAGCCATTCTGACAGAAGGGTCATAATGAAAATTGTAATTTGCTATTTTCAGCTGTTCATAAAATTGAAGTTAAGCTATGCTGTGTTTTTTACCTCTCTTTTTTTTATAATCCTAGATTTAAATGTTTCTTTTAGAGAGAACAAAACCCATCTCACTCTTAACAATTACATTTTGTTTAAACACATCAGAGGATGGTAAGTTGATTATTCTGTTATCACATGTCTTGTCAAGAATTTTTTGGCCAAATATTTTATATCTGTGTCTCACCAACATCACAATATATATATATATGTACCACAATGGGGTTGCCTTCAAGGTTTCAACATCAGAGCACTGTACTACATTGTTATCATAGTTTGATCACTTGCACATAATTATATTTAATATTATTCAGTATGGTAAAGATTGCAAAATTCATTAAGTGCACAGTTAGAACATAATTATATTAAATATTATTCATTATGGTAAAGATTGCAATTCATTAAGTGCACAAGTAGAATAATATTATTTTGCAGCAGTTACACAATGTTGCATTGTTATGATCCCTTTATGCATAACTGAAAAGAAAGAAAAATAATAAATTTGAAATGTGTTTATTATAAAGTAATTTTTTCTGCTACTGTAAGTCAATACCAATTGGTCTGATAATGACAATTAAGAATGATCATGACACGAATGTTCCCCCTAGAGACAGAACAGTGCAATGGTATTAAGCAAGTTACATGGTTTATAGTTCAGTTTTGTTATTTTAAAGTGAAGTTTCATCAATGTACAGCACAGCTCTCTTTCAAGAGCATTTTTTCACTCCTTAGTGGCCAACCAATGTAAAATAGTTGTGAGCCACAGGTAAATAGTAACACGTGTCACCAAAATAGACACTGTCAACAAATGCTTTGAATACTTTTATTGAAACCTGCTTCAAGAGTGTTGTATTAACATGTGTACATTTTGGCTAAAAAGTTAGAGGTTAGCAGGCCTATAGCAAGCAAATTCAGGGGGGTTCTTTTTCTGAAAAAAGGGGTGCTTTTTATCCCCTTTAAGATGACCCAATTTGAAAAATGGCATGAAATTTAAATCCAATTTTGATTCTATTTTGAGATATAATTTCTTCGGATTTTACTGACAATAAGGATGAACAGATATTTTTTTAAATGTACTAGTATTTTAGGTCAATCTACTGCACTAAGTTTTGCAGGTGTGATTTTTTCCCAAACAATAAACAAAAGCATGCATTGATTTTTATTCAATTGTTATATATGTTTTTTGCCATCATGTAAGCATCCCCTTTTATACCTAGTTTACCTTGTAGATAATTGCTTTAAAGAGCTAAGATTGAAGAATGTGTGCAATGACATATAAGAGCCTAGTTGAAGTCCTGCCTCCTCCTCCCTAGCAACACGTATTTCCAGCTAAAACGTAACATGCCGTATAAGTGTTTGCAGATCATCAGTGATTGAAATAATGCATCAGGCAACAAAAGACACTGGAGTGTTACTTCCAAAGCTAATCCAGCATAAGGATGGCTTTGTTTGAGGCACTATATTCTGTCCATTCCCACGGCGACCTCACAAATTCTCCAGATACCACAAAAAAGAATGTATTGATTTTTTTATGTCAATATAAAATTTCACCTGCTCTAATGTTTACCTGTGGCACTGACGTGAGTGTATTGTAGTGTCAATGTGGAAGTGATAAGCTAGCTTCCCGTCTATTATGGAGCAACAGGCTGGTTAATTGTAGCAGCTCTAAAAGCGTGTTATTGCAGCTTAAGTGTTAGATATGTGAGGACTGAACTCGCTGTTAAGTGCTGCTGTCATTAAACCAACTTGTTATGAATTTTGTTAATGTGTTTTGTGGTGATAAATGGTGTATCAAAAGGAATATGGGATGGAATTTATAGTTTGAATATGGACTATTGTATTTTATGAACAGAAATAACATAAGTGGATCCTATTGTGTATGTTTTTGCCTTTTGATGTTGAATTTATAAAGAAAATGTCACCAAATAAATTTAATGATACCTGTATGCTTACCATTTTCAGATTTTTGATCAACAAATATCCTCAAAACATTTTTTTAAACCCAACCTCCTGTAAAGAACGGAAAAGAAGTATCTTACATGTTAAAATGAAGTGACATCCTGTTTTTCAGAAATACAGGATAATGCAGAGGATATTATAATCATAGCTCATTAAGTAAATCATGTAAAAACATCCTGTTGGATGCTGTCAAGATTTACAAAGCATCTCCAGTAATACTAGGAAATTCAAACTCTTCCACTACAGACAGTCCATGTCCCCATCCCTCAGTATGTAACTGGACTCATTATCTCATAATTGGACTCATAATCTCAGATATTTCACAGTGACTGATTCCTTTATTGTAAACAAGATTCACTGAAGCATGTATATATTTGTGTCCACTGCAAAGTTCAGCATGGGTCAGTGGGTTGGATGGTTTGATATGAATTGTGCCAGTGCATGAAATCGCCTGAATTGCAAGTTAATAATACATGAGAAGCAAATACATGTGCAGTGTTTGATATAGCCAATTAACTAATGGTGAAATGTTCAATGGTTGTTATTAGCTAGAGAGCGTTGTTCTCCTGATTTTAATCAATCATCAACTGTTATGATTTATCACATTCAGCAGCACGTACTTAATTGGAAAGGAGGGGCTTTATTTAAATCATAATGATCTTTCCTAATAATTATTTTTTAATTTTTTTCTTTTTGTTTTATCTTTATAATTTACCGCAGTATTTCTATGGGAAGGTATATTTAATATTTATTCAATGTTTTTTTTTCCAGAAAATGATGATGTTAAAAGAACCACCTTGAGGGAGCTGAAGGTCCTCCGCATGCTGAAACAGGAGAATATTGTTGAGCTGCGAGAGGCGTTTAGAAGGAGAGGAAAGCTTTATCTAGTCTTCGAATATGTGGAAAGGGTAAGTGTTGTTAGCCTGAAATTTTGGAAAGTTTATCTTGATGATGAATCAGCACTTTTTTTTCTTTTTTCAAAATAAAGAAACCATCTCTCAGAGATAAGAAATGTAAAGAAGAAAGAAATCCACTGTATAAATTATTTCTTATTATTTTAAATTATTTTCTGTAAGATGTTCACTCTTCCATGTTACCAAGATTACATGGTACATTTTATGCAGTAAGTAAAAAATCTACAGTTTTTATGTGCATGTATTTGTTATGGCAGATCAGAATTTCATATTTTCCATCATTTCAGAACATGCTGGAGGTCCTGGAAGAGATGCCAAATGGAGTCCCCATAGAGAAGGCACGCCACTATGTCTACCAGCTATGTAAGGCTATCCACTGGTGCCACACTAATGACATCATACACAGGGGTAAGCTATATCCACTGGTGCCACACTAATGACATCATACACAGGGGTAAGCTATATCCACTGGTGCCACACTAATGACATCATACACAGGGGTAAGCTATATCCACTGGTGCCACACTAATGACATCATACACAGGGGTAAGTTATATCCACTGGTGCCACACTAATGACATCATACACAGGGGTAAGTTATATCCACTGGTGCCACACTAATGACATCATACACAGGGGTAAGCTATATCCACTGGTGCCACACTAATGACATCATACACAGGGGTAAGTTATATCCACTGGTGCCACACTAATGACATCATACACAGGGGTAAGTTATATCCACTGGTGCCACACTTATGTATGTGCATTTATGTGTGTGTGTGTGTGTGTGTGTGTGTGTGTGTGTGTGTGTGAGTGTGTGTGTGTTCAGTTTGTCAATCTTAATGTTTAACTTGGAATATGCAAATTATGCATGAAATCAATTTACAAGTTTTCATTTCTCCTTTCTAGATATCAAACCAGAAAACCTCTTAATTGGAAAAGATGATAGGCTGAAATTGTGTGATTTTGGTAAGTTGTGTACAATATCCTGAGCTGCTCAGGGAACAAAGTTATAAATTATAAAGTGAGTTTTTAAAATTACCATCCAATATTTGACTTTTGATTAATGAAAAGAACTATGTAATACCCATGCTGTGCTAAAGACTGTCTTGAATGGGACTTGATATTATATTAGCCTTATACTGTAACACCAGGACTTAGGACTCAACTGACAGACCTAGCGTCTTTCCATAAGGACGGTGCCAGTGACTGTTTATGTTGAAAATATTGACAGTTATAATTTATATCTATTTATGTTTGTTTTTTTTTTCACTCCCAAGGTTTTGCGCGTAACATGAATGGTCATGGCACAGCTAACTATACAGATTACGTGGCCACCAGGTGGTACAGGTCTCCAGAGCTGCTGCTAGGGTGAGGACTGGATGCTTCTGCTTCTTCTAAAATGCTTTCTTCTTCTTCTTCTAAAATACTATCTTCTTCTCATTTTAAAATACGGTCTTCTTCTTCTAAATTATTGTCTTCTCCTAAAATATTGCCTTCTTCTAAATGATTGTCCTCCTCTAAAAAATTATCTTCTTCTTCCAAAATATTGTCTTCTTCTTCTAAAATGTTGTCTTCTCCTTAAATATTGTCTTTTTCTACTAAAATATTATCTTAATTGTTGAATCAACTCTATATATTATATCTCTCAGTGCTCCGTATGGTAAAGCAGTAGATATCTGGGCCATAGGCTGTATCCTGGGGGAGCTGAGTGACGGGCAGCCCCTGTTCCCTGGGGAGAGCGAGATAGACCAGCTCTATATGATCCAGAAAGTGATGGGACCTCTACCTGATGACCAGATGCACATGTTTTATAATAATCCCAGGTTTAATGGGCTTAAGGTAGGCGCAGTTCTATAGTTATACATAGTTATATTAATAGTTATATACAGTTATAGTTATTCACAATAACTGTGATACAGGGGACGTAGGTGTGGTGTGTATTGAAGCAGATCAGTTTGAATTTCTCCTTAAAAATGTTACTTCATTTGAGTGGTTTCCTTGAAAATATGTCGAGTATTTAAGTTAATAACTTGAAGTTTTTTGTTGTTGTTAGCATAGAATATGATGTAATCACTGCAATATCCATGCAAGTGCTTCATATTTTGATTCCTAGATGCATAGTTTACTCTGGCATATTGAGTGTTCACTCAAAGCTATTTATTATTTATTTATTTATTTTAACTAACAATTGTTTCTTATTTCAGTTTCCCTCCGTGACCCACCCCCAGACCCTGGAGAGGAGGTATCAGGGCATTCTGAGTGGAGTTCTCATTGACTTTATGAAGGTACTGACTTCACCAGTGCTGCTTTACCTTATATTTTTATCATTAAAGCTAATTGAAATTATTGTATGCTGTAAGTGTGTAGGGCTGCAAACCTAAAAAACTGTTTTGAGCTTACATCTTCTAGGTCCTCTAGAGTAGATAACCAGGATAGTCTTTAGGAATTTGTATCTCAGATTTATAGCCCATTCTTTGCTTAACTTACCCAAATAATAGCAAAGTTTACTGTGCATGCCTTTAATTAGTAGACATTTATATAATTATTTTATCATATATGTAGTGAT